AAAAAAAAAAAAAAAAGGAAGTCCGAAGTAGTCCTCTTTTATTTCTTTATTTTATTTTATCTGTTGATAAGGGCCGGAGGAAAGTATTGTTGGGTTGGTTTCCTACCTACGTTTTCCCTCCCACCCACCCTTTGCATGCATTTCCGGGTTGGTACAGTGACACGTCAGCTACAGTGACACGTCAGCAGGCCACGTCAACAGTGACACGTCAGCAGGCCATGTCAGCAGTGCCACGTCAGACTGCCACGTAAGCAGTGCCACGTCAGACAGTGCCACGTCAGCAGTGCCACATCAGACACAGTGCCACATCAGACAGTGCCACGTAAGCAGTGCCACATCAGACAGTGCCACGTCAGACACAGTGCCACGTCAGCAGAGCCACGTCAGCAACATGACGGGCCTGCCAGGCCAACTGGCCAATGAGCCCATTGCCGACTACAAAAAGCACTTCCAGGCTCAGCTCGCTGCAATCGAGGTTGAGGAACAACGCCAGCTAGCAGTCAAGGCTGCCCAGCTACAGGCTGAAGAAGCGGCAACAGCAGAGAAGCTGCGGCTACAGGCCGAAGCAGACGCCGATGCCCAGGCTCGCCGCAAGGAAGCCCAGGATCTGCTGCTGCGGCATGAAGCCAACAGCATCGAGCGACTCAAGTACTGGCACTTTGAACCGAACGGCGACGAGGCAACACCGGAAGAGCAGCATAAGGAGTTCATGACCAAGCTCGTGACCAGGTTGGTTTATACTTGTAACCACCTACAGTCCGAGCTGGAGAACCTCCAGCGGGCCGTGCGGAACCATAAGACTCAGCACCAGGATGCCACACGGGCACTGGACGCCCGTGTACTGGACCTGGAACAGGCTGTACCAGGACCAGATGCTGGGGCTTCCAGCAGTGCACCCTCTAGCCGCCAACTGGAGGAACGCGTTGACCACGTAGTGGCAATGCTCGGCGACATCAGCACCTTCGCTGCGCCGACCACCGTCAGCAGTCAGCTGCATACCTTGAAGATCGAGTTCCAGCAGCTGCAGTCGACGAACGCGGATGGCAATCCGAAGTTATACAAGATGCAAACTTTCCAACTGGACAAGTTCGACGACTACACACAGCAGGATCCGGTCCTCTGGTGGGAAGCATTCACAACGCAACTCAGGATTCTGCCCGTCGCCAAGCTCGCGTACATCGACGCCCTGTTCATGGGCGGATGCCAGATCTGGTTGACCCACCTGGCAACCTCTCACGGCGTCGACGTACCGGACTTGAAGGACAAGATCACATGGGAAGAACTGACACGGCTGTGGAAGAAGCGGTTCATCGTCGACGACGCGCCGACACTCGCCATCAACCGTTTGTTCACCATGTCACAGGGCAACACTGCAACACGGGATTGGCTCACTGAGTGGCAGAAGATTGCGGCTGTGCCCAATCTGAACTTACCATTCGAGCATCTACGCCGTGAGTTCTACAACAGGTCCTGTGCTGCATTGAGCCAGGCTCTTGGTGATCGCGAGCAGTACTCAACCTTTGCTAAGATCATTGACAAGGCGAGGGAGATCATCAAGACCAACAGGTCAGCTGCACACGAGAAGTCAACATGGCAGCCGACCTATGTGGAGAAGGTACGAACTGGTCCGCGACTGCAGCACTTCGCTGCAGTCCAGTCGGACAGTGGAGATAACCCAGCAGCCACTCCAGCATCAAGTGACGGAGATCAGGTGGCTGCTGTCCAGCCGCGAAGCAACAAGAAGTCCCGCAACAATGGGAAGGCGAAATCCGCATTGCAGGCCGGAAATGGACAGCCAGTACAAGTTCCATGGGTCAGGTTCGGCTTGACCGAGGCGGAGTACAAGGTCCCCGCCGCTACAACAGCTGCTATTGGTGCAACAGCACCAAGCACAAGACCTCCCTGTGCCAGGATCAGGGCAAGGAGGATGTGCGACCCCGCCTCAACTCGGGAAACTGAGTTCCGCGGAAGGTGAGGCGACTCCACCTTCTACTCCGCCAGATTCGGCCGCCTTGCTAGCGGCCTCCTGCACATCTGGGGAGGATGCGAATGTCGCAAGTCCTCGGTACACTTACGAGGACTATGCTGTCCACTTGGTTCCACCGCTGGACCAACCACTCCACGTGCAACAATCCATCGCATGCACGGTTTCATCACCATCGGCAACCGATTCGGCAACTTCACCGCAATCTATCGCCGGGGATTCGACGTCATGGTCAAGACTTGAAGAGCTCGACCCGTTGACGTTCACGAACTTCCAGTGGATGCTCGTTCCCTCGACCAGACGATTGCCGAAACCGCATTGCAACGTGCTTATGGCACAATTGCGGGATTACTTACACACTGCAGTACCAGCTCCGTTGATGGACGTCGGAGTAGAGGTTGTCGACCTTCACGCTTACATTGCGAAGATCGACCGCGAGTTCAAGACGCAACGGTACGATGACATCGACGCACCATTGCTATATGTACGCATTCGGATCGGAGGGGCGACCTGCAACACCTTGATCGATTGCGGAGCATCTCGCAACTACATCAGCCAGGACTTCATGGTACACGCCGGCCTTGGCCCACGTGTCCAGAGGAAGTCCCAGCCTACGGAAGTCACTTTGGCAGACAGTCATACGCACAAGTCCATCAACCGGAACATTGACGCCGTCCCAGTGTACTTTGCCCCTCACGCAAGTGAGGCGGTGTCCTTTGACATTCTAAACACCAAATTCGACATGATCTTCGGCATGTCATGGCTGCGAAGCAAGGATCACCCGGTGAACTTCTTCAACCGCACCGTTCACGTTCGTGATCGGAACGGAGTATTAGTTCCAATCTCGGTGCCGCTTCCTCATCCTTCGATCAGCTGCCACGTGGTATCCGCCGGAAGCATGCGAGCTTCCATCATCAAAGACGACATCGAGGAGATGGGGGTGTGTTTTCTCCACGCCCTCCCGCCCCGAGACACTTCATCGACGGACTCATCTTCGGATCCACGCATCACCGAACTTCTCGACGCCTACAGCGACGTGTTCGAAGGCCCACACGGAGTAGTACCGGATCGGCCCATCCGCCACGAGATCATCCTCGAGGACGGGGCCGTACCTCCGCGCGGTTGCATCTACCGAATG